CATTTTTCCGTGAATTAAGAACCAAGAAATTTTTTGTGTTTGTTTTCTGAGACAGGGTTTCTCTTTGTAGCCCTGGCTGCCCTGGAACTAGCTCTGTAGACCAGGCTGGCCTCAAACTCACAGAGATCTGCCTGCTTCTGCCTCCCAAATGCTGGGATTAAAAGTGTGCGACACTACCCGCCCAGCAAAACTGAGAATTTAAATGTATACAGTTTCCACATGTTAGATAGAGAAACTGACAGGAAAGGGTGAGTGTGAAGCCATTCAGATTGATGGTGGCAGAAGGGAGATGATCCCAGCTTTTTTTTTTTTTCCTTATATAGGTGAGCTGATTCACCTGAGGAAGAGAGTGCTGTCCCTGACAGGTTGTTTACTTGCTTAAAGGCAAGGCAGACCAACACTTCAGAGTAATTTCCCTATCCTGGGAAACAGCAATGTCAAGCAAAGACAACTCACATTTTATTTTATTTTGTTTTTGGCAATTCATTTTAACAATTTGTTAATCTTTCTCTTCTCATTCCTTCCCAGACTGCTTATATTCAGAGATGGTCTCATTTGCAAGCAAGGTGACTTAGAAGTTTTAGCTCAGAGATGAGCAGCAGTGATTAACAAATGCTGGCTGTTGCCAGACATGGTGGTGGACATTATTAATTCTAGAGGCAGAGGCAGGTGGATCTCTCAGTTCAAGGCCAGCCTGGTCTATATAGTGAGTTCCAGGACAGCCAGGGTACACAGAGAAACCCTGTCTCAAAAAAACAAAACAAAACAAAACAAAAACAGAAAAACAGAAACCAAATGCTGTCTCTTCTTAGTGTTAGTGATTGACAGAGGCTCATTGTCTTTTGTTTGTTCCCCCAAAGATGAGGCAAATAATTAGGATGCTTCCTCTGACCATCAGCTTGTAGACACCAAGTCAACCATCACTTATTTTCTGCACACATTAGCTGTTCCTTCTTTAGTTTTAGGACTCAACTCCATTGTCATCCCCCAGAATCAGAATTTAGTAATGAACACAGAAAGACCATGGAGGTGACTCAGTAGGTAAAACCACTTGGCCATTGAGCCTGATGACCCAAATTCCACCCCAGAGACCCACATGGTGGAATGAGAGAACCGACTCCTCCAAGTGGCTCTCTCACTCACTCACACACACAATTTAATTTAAATTTTAAACATGAATATATAGTAATCAAGTGGCCATCTTGCCTGCTGGTTCCCCTGTCAACTTAGAGAACAAACGTTCCTGAGAAGGGTACACAGGAGAGCTATATGGACCTGTGAGTGACAGAGATTTGCCTAGCATGGGAGAGGCACTGGGTGTGATGTCTGGCATGCAAAGAGGGGAGAGAGAGGGAGGGAAGTGAGAGGGGAAGGGGGAGGAGAAAGAGAGATGGGAGAAGGAGGAGAGAGGGGGAAGAAGGAGGAGGGAGGGGAGAGAGAAGAGAGAGAGAGAGAGAGAGAGAGAGAGAGAGAGAGAGAAATAAAAAAGATGGGGTAGAGATAGAGAGAGACCTAAAGTCATGAGAGAATTTCAAACTAACTGTGAACAGGTAGGGCTCATATAGACACAGGGGAGCATCGGAAAGCAAAGGCTGAGAGTAGGAACAGGGTGGGGAAGAACAGCTTGGGCAGTGGGGGCAGGGAAGAGGGAGGAATAAGAAACCCAAGAACTGAGGACAGAGCCTTCCAGAGGGAAGGCAGAAGAAAAGATAAGTTGGAATTATGTCTCTCTCTTTCTGTCCTCTCTTTTTGGTTTTTCAAGATCATGTTTTTCTATGTAGTTCTGCTGTTTTGGAACTTGCTTTGTAGACCTGGCTGTCCTCAAACTCATGTAGATGGACCTGTCTCTGCCTCCCAAGAGCTGGGATTAAAGGCACTACAGGCAACAAGTTGGAGATGAGGAGGCAAATGAGAAGGCCACAACAAAGCTGGAGTTCCTTTATATAAGGAGATGGGGACCATAGGCAATGACATCCTCAGACACAGTGGAATAGTTAGCTGACCTCCTGGCTATGAGGTTTTATTTCTTCCTTTAAATTTTACCTTTTGTCTATGTGTGTATTTGCACATGCCACAGCACACATTGGCTCAGAGGAAAACCTTCAGGAAATCACTGCTCTCCTTTCACCATTGTGGATCCCTGCTCGGATCAAACTCAGGTTGTCAGGCTTGGTGGCAAGTGCCTTAACCCCCTGAGCCATCTCTCTGATCCCTAGCTATGAGTTCTTTGAACCCGTGACTCTCTGAAGATATGGTCTATCTACTCAGATATCCTGGATGTTTTCATTTTAAAGAGGTAATATGTTTTCATTACAGAAGAATCAAGTAAGCAGAGACTTAAAAAGAAAAAAACTCCCATTCAACTATTACCACCTTTTATGTAGCTTGCTGATGTTTCTTAGAAGCATGTATTTGTAAAAGATGTTTCATAGGGTCTTTAATCCCAGCACTTGGGAGGCAGAGGCAGAAGGATCTCCCTGAGTTCGATGTCAGCTTGGTCTACAGAAGGAGTTCCAGAACAACCAGGGCTGTTACACAGAGAAATCCTGTCTCAAAAAACTAAACAAACAAGATGCTTCATAAAACTCTATCATATAAAGGGCTATTGTTTTTTGTTTGTTTTCTTTGAGTCAGGGTCTCACTGTACAGCTCAGGTTGGCCCCAGGCTCACAATCCCACTGCCTCAGCCTCCTGAGTGCTTGGTATACCGCTGTGTCCCATCACACCTAGATATACCTATAGTTTTATAAGGTACTTTTTGCACTGTAAACAGTCCTGTGTCAATAAATAGACTTATGACAGAACTCCTGGGAATTGCAGGGCTGGTGACAGCGTTCGTGAGGCTTGTCCTCCCTTCTGGATGGTGAACTTTGCCTTTCTTTTTCTGTGCTGTTTCCCTCCGTAACTGAGAACTGCCTAGACGTCATGGGCATCAGGCAGGGACGTGATCTGTCTTTAAACAAGTGACAGGAGTTAGGAGGAAGGTCAGTAGTGTATCTGTGACAAAGTTCCTGGCCATAAAACTTTGGCCACATCTATAAAGCTCAGTCTAGGTGAAAAGGCACATTTTTTTTTTCCCTGAAGACTACACAAAGGAAAAGATGGATATTGCCTGTAGCCTTGGGAATGTGGAGCGCAGAAAGCTGGTGGGTAGGCAGGCCCAGGCGGTCAGAGCATAACAGGCCTTCTCTCCTGAACAGGGCCAATAAGATGTTGGCTGGGGCTTCTGAGGCATTGGAGATACAGGTGCAAGAACACATTCTCCTTTTTAGGTCTGGTGCACTCTTTAGACACAGGATTTGGAACTAAGAGGAACATGAGCCTGACAAAATATTAATTATTGGATTTATTCCTAAGTAACTGTCTCTATACAACAGGTCTCCTGATGACGAGGGAAGAAAGGGAGTGCTCTTTTGTTCTGGTTCTACCTCTTTCCTTGCTTGAATTTCCTCTCCGGTCTCTACTTCTGCTATGATTTCATTATACATGGTGTTTTTGATATACCTGAGGGACTCTAATTGGCAATGGGCATATTTAAAATCATGTTTACGATAAAAACATATAAAACATTTATTGGCTATGTATTCTATGCTGCTCTTTGCTATGATCTCATTTAACCCTCAGAATAAACTTTCTTTACAATTATCCTTACTTTATAAATAAGGAAAGCAGGACTTAGAATATCTAGTTGACACTGGGTACAGTGGCTGCACCTCTAATCCCAGCCCTCCGAGGCAGAAGCAAGCAGAGCTCCAGGAGTTCTAGACCAGCCTGGCCTACACAGTGGGATCCTGTTGAAAGAAAGCAAGAAAAAAGGAAAAGACTAAAAGAGAGAAGGGAGAGAAAGGGGAAGGGAATGGTACCCTCCCTGGCTGCATCTGCAAAACAGGGATGTAAACCCAGTCCCATTGACCCTAGAGCTGTTCCTCACACTCCTCTCCTTTCCATGTCAGTTGGGTTAAGTTGGGGAGGAACCACCAACAAAATAAATTGTAGTTGGAGAGAACGATGGCAAAGTACAACTTATTCGTTCTCCATGTTTAATGTCAATTAATACGTTAGCTAAGGGTGCCTGCCTATTATAAAGCTATTTGCTCAAGGTTATCTGCCTCCTACCCCGCCCCCATCATCAGATGACTTTTATTTATAGCTATGTTTAAACATCCTGGGCAACACAGATTCATGATACCCTGGATTTGTCATCTAAATCATGATTCTCAAAGTTGTCTTAAAAGGTTTTTCTGTTTGTTTTTGTTTTGTCCAGAGGTTAAAAGGATAATTCTTCCTCTTTTAAATTATCTTTTGGCTTTCAAGACAGGGTCGCACCCCACTTGCCTTGGACTCATTGTGTAACCCAGGCTGTTCTTGAAATGGAGGAAATACTCCTGCCTCATCATCCTCAGTGCTGATTTTACAGGCATGAGATACCGCTCCCAGCTGTTTTTAAATTTTTGTTCCAAATATCCATCAGCTCTCAAAATGAGTGGTTTGGGTCAAATTAGTTGGGACCAGATTAATCAAACCCAATCAGATCCTTTGATTATTTTGAGGCTCTACAGAGTATGAAAGCATTTTTGGTTTCTAATAAGGAAAAAAAGGGGGGCACCCTGATTAGCATAATTTTGTATTGTTTATGATCTGGTCTGCATTATTCCACTGCTTGAATGCTAATGAGAGCTTCCTAGAAGTCATTCCTCAAGAAGTTAAGTCACAGCATCTAATTATTTGGCAGGATGTTTTAAGTATATATAATTATATCTTCCCTCCATTTTGTGAGGGTGGTGAGCCAAGTAACCTGCATCAAGAGGAAATAAATAACACATTAATGCTACCAGCAAGGAGTGCCTAGCTAGTACTTTGGAAGAACCCTCATTATATAACCTTTGCATATAGAGTGGGCGTTTAGTACTTTTCAATCTGCCAAACTAACATCATCACTATCTGTACAGGTGAAAAAATGCAGGCAAAGGGACAAATGCTGATCCTCTTCTGTGTTTCAGGAGCTGTACAACTGTAACTGAGACCTTGGCAGTATGAAGTTCTCAGGCCTGACGGTTTACCTTGGAGAAATCCCTTCTGTTATGTGTGTTCCTATCTGCTTCCTACTCTTGAAGACTAGACCAGTTCTCGATCGGGTCCAGGGCAATGGTGAATAATAAGACAAGGCAATACAGTGAATATGGCTTTATAACTATGGGCACCCAACAATCATTTCTTTTTTTTGTTTTTTTTTCATTTCTTTATTTATGTCACACAGTCTTAACTCATACTCTGTCTGTTATTTGGGGTTGTTCACTGCAAACTAGAGTCAAAATTTGATCTGAAATGACCTTAACCCCACTCTAGCAGAACAAGTATGTAAGGAGGCTTCTTAGGTACTTTCTTCGGCACACTAGAGGGAGGTACCCAGGGAAAGCAGAATTGGTCAAGCCAGTCCACCTGGCCAAGCAGGTTGTCCTTGATATAGGAGAATTTTCAGCCCCGCCATTTGTGGATGGGGCCACTGAGGCCCTCTCTTAGCTTGTGGGTCACCGTGATGCCCTCGAAGATGCGTCTTGCCCAGCATGTGTCAGACTTGGTTGCTCTCCACAGAAGAGCTTAAAAGACCAGCTCTTGCCTTGCCCTTCATGGTTAACCATTCTTTGGCTTCTATTACCTCTCAGACTCTGGGGAGAGCAGTGTATAACTTCCATACATTCCATTCATTTCGGCCGGTACTGTTGGAAAAATTAAAGCTCCACTAGGGCAGTAGCCCTTGTTTGTCCGCATGACCCCTCTATCCTCTAGGCATGGGATCTGGTAAATAGTTGGCACTCTGTGGAGCCAAATATCTCTGTAAATGCAGGGACAGTGCAATGTGAAAACATTTCGCAAGCCCCAAAGAGATTCAATAACCAGGTCAAGGGCAGATCTATGAGCTTCCTTTACTGTCGCTGTTAATACCAGCACCAGAACACAGCAGGACCGATATGTCCTCTAGAAAGTAGGCCAGGCTCATTTCCAGTGAGCTCAGGACTTGGAGAAAAGTGCAAACCGCAGCTGCGGAAGGCCACAGGAGAGGAAGCTAGTCTCAGGACAAGGCCAGGTACCAAGGCCCCGCCATCGCACCAGGACAGGTGTCTGTTAGGGGTGTCAGGTGAGCGAGTGACATACCCCAAGCTGGTA